GCGAGCTCCTCCGCCAGCTCCCTCAGCACTCTCGGGTGGATGCCATCCGGCCCCATAGACTTGTGAGTGTCCAGGTGGTGTAGCAGGTCATTGACTGCTTCCTCTTGGATTATGGGGGGTTTATCCTGCTCGCCATCCCTGTCTTCCAGCTCAGGGGGCTGAGTACCCTGAGTATAACTGGTCTGACTATTAAAGACTGAGGCAAAGAAGGCATTAAGTACCTCAGCCTTTTCCTCGTCCTTGGTGACAATGTTCCCCCCCGCATCCAATAAAGGATGGAGATTCTCCTTGGCTCTCTTTTTGTCATTAATATATTTGTAAAAACATTTTTTGTTGTCTCTAAGATAGTAAGAGGTGCTGGTTTCCGAGCAAACTGTTTATGGCCTGCCTCAATCCAAACTTTTGAGCTGCAAAACATAACTAGTTTTGATATGCCGATGCACATCGAGTATAGAAAGACCCCGGATGCGGAGGATAGGCCTCAGTTTTTTAAAGAATAGGGGAAGGTAGTCCTTTACCCAGCAAAGCTCACAGGTTTTAATAAAACAGCTTCAAACTTATGATTGCTGTATATTGCCAGCAAAATAGCCAAGCAATGAAAGGAAACATCCAAGCCTCTGGCACACAGGAACTTTCCAGTATATCACTCACTGATTATCTCGCTCCTTAATCTGTGACACATGAAAATTTAGGACTGTCCCTTCTAAATTGTCTCGCCCCCCGTATACTCATTTAGGCCTGAGACTACCATCTGCTCTTTGGTTCAGCTTACTTGCAGTGCCACAGACTGTACAGTATCACTAAAAATAAACCAGAGCAAGTGCCTCATTCATCTAGTCCCTTGGTGCACTCTCCGTGCAGCTGTCAATGGCTAAAAAGCATATACGGAAATCTGCAGAACAGTTAGGTTTGTGATAGCGGAAATGATGACCCCGCATAGCAATAAATGCCGCCCACAGCTTTTCTGGGAGAAAATCAAACCCCTTGCTCTCTTTGGCATGCATGTTCACTTCAAACTTGAATGATTTTTCACTGACGTCTAAACATAGTGTCATGACAAAAATTATGTCTGAGCCTGGGAGGCACTGAATTTGCCCAGGGCGGCTGTGTCCCTTCAAGGGCTTGCAGGATTAAATCCAACATCTTTCCTTCCACCTTTACTTTAGAAACAGAGGTTTGGTCATTTGAAGGGTCAACTTAAGTTTATAGATCTTGGCCATCGTGCCTCCAGAGCAATAAACTAAACCAGAAATATCTGTCATTAACAATAAAATAGTGATTTATCTGCTTGCAGTGAAACTTTACGCTTTGACAAGTCAAGTTATCAATGGGGAGATGCAGTTCTACGCCAGGGCCAAACACTTCTACCGGGAGGTGCCAGCCACAGAAGAGGGCATGATGGGAGACTACATTGAGCTCTCCAATACAGACATTGAATCCTCCAGGGAGTTTCTCAGGAAGTTTGTTGGGGTGAGTCATTTAATCCCATCTTCTGCAAGAAACAGTGTTGTGTCATAAATGACATGCACTGTGCCTGGTCACATATATTTTAAATGGCACCGTATGTCAATATTTGATATGCAGTCACAGGTCATAACTGACTGTCATGGGGTCTAGTAATGTATTCTGCCAGGTCATGCATCATCATGAATACACATTTTGCCTGGCCATATGTCATTATTTACCTGTTTTGCATCCCTTTCTTATGCTCCAAAGCTTCAAAGACGATTGTGCAAGGAGTTTTTATAGCTGTGTTTGGGTGGGAGATAAATTCTCAGTGCAGGACTGGGACCTTTCATGATAAAATCCTTGCTGGCTTCAGTGGGAGATTTGCCTGTGCAAATTCCTGCAGTCCATTTGGGAAAGTAACTGAGACTAAATGCCAAGTTTCTGTTTTGCCTATTTATAGATATTTCTGAGAATGCTGCAACAAAACCCAGCCCTCCCTGCGCCCCTCCCCAAACATTAGGAATAAGCTACCCATTAGGAAAAGTATTTTTTTCTTGAACATTCCAGTGTCACTAAGGACCTTTGCAGGTAGATTTCTAAAGGTCTCTAAACATCTTCAAAGGTCTGCTTTGACCTGAGATACAAAGAGATGCCAAGTGGGATTTTAAAAGCACCTACAATAGCAATATCACTTTGGCACTTAGGTTTCTGAAAATCCTGTTGATGCCTAAATGTGTCTGGGAATCTGCAAATCTTTAAAAGTGCAGCCTTATGGTTTTCTGACTGCCCTTCCCTCTTCCCAGGGGAAAAGCCCACTAAATTAGCTCAACAACAGTATTAGATGCTAAAGAATCCACAAAGCTCCAGGAAACCAAATTTCTTAAGTTCTCCTGCTCAGAAAATTACTAGTTCTATATAATGCTACCATAGATCTTTCATTTTCTGCTCAAATGTACAAATTTGGGATAGCCAGATGACCTTTTTTTAGTCTTAATGATCTACTATGGGAAAAAAGCTCAATAGGTTAATTAGATGTTGCGTATAAAAAAGGGCACAGTTTAAATGGATTGGGATGGAAAATGAGTGTGGCTTAACAACAAATAGAAATCCTGTATAGCAGTGAAGGGCAACTGATGGCAAAGTTTGCTGTACCTGATAGAGGGAGGCTTTTGGGGCAGTGAGCCAGCAAAACACAAGTGAATAGCTACATTTTTTTCATTAACAGTCATTTTTATTAATGCTAATGCAAAAAGGCTTCACAACATTTCAAAGCCTCGCTGTATCAGGCTTTCTACAAACACAAAATAAGAAAATACAAAGGAAGTTCAGCAAGGCAGCTGAACCTGATACTAAAATGGCATTTTCAGAAAAAATGAAATGCAACTTAGGAGTCTAGGGCCAGCTCAAGGCATATTCCTTAAATTTTACTTAAGTCTTGTTTTAAGGACATTTGTGGAATTCAAGTGGTGCATAAGCGTGTACTCACAGAAAGATTTCACGCTTCCTAGACATCATATAGATTCAGTTTCCTGAACGGCAGGTTTATATCACACTGTTAAACTTTCTCATCTCCAAGACCCGAAAAGGAAAGAAGTACAGTCTGTAGCAGAGTTTCACATGCCAAAGAGAAATCATACCCAATGCGTCAGGTGTGATGACAGATACAAAATACTCCAAAGCAGAGTTCCTACTCCTATTATTAGCCAGGGATAGAAAGAATACTCTGAATGGCCAAGATCAAACAAGACAAAAAAAAAAAGGAACAGAAAGGAATCTGCCTGTTTTGCTAGTTCTGATTTAGTTTGTTAAAGCCTGTCTTCTGTTGAGATCCAGTCAATTGGTTATGTTACTTATGGTTTACTTTCCTTTCTTACTACTGCAATTTGAATCCTACTCGACCAGATACAGATATTTACTGGCTTTCTGTAGTAGTGACTTTATTCTAAAGCTAATTTGAGTTATGTCTTCCCAAGTTTATGGCTGTATGAATAATTTTTTTTTCCAGTAAGGTGATCAAGGTAGACAAAAGCAATTTGCTTCACCCTAATATAAACTATACTTTCTTTTTTAAAGAGAAGTTTAACAAAATCAGAAAATAGGAAAATTAATTTCAGATCAACTTAACATATTTCACTTAAATTTTTTTATTGTTTTACCCTCTGAAAAACTTTTCCCTTTGTTTTCAAGATATAAGTCAGTTCCAAAATGAAAAATGCTGTTTAGAAATGAAAAGTTGACAAGTTATTTTTTTTTTCCTTGAAAGTTGTGAATAAGAAGTATCTTGACATTTTCAACATTCTTTCCCATGTTTTTTGGCTATAACTGTTCTCTAGCTTTGAAATATCAATTTCACAGAGAGTTTTATTCTTCCAAAACTTTATTTTCTGGCAAAACTAGTGCTCCTTAAAAAACAGTTGCCCAGTTCCACTCAAATTACCCCTCTTGAGTTAGTTTGGCTGGTGTGGAAATGTCACACAGTGACATTTCCCTTACATGACTGATGTTGCATACCTTCATGTATGGCATTTCTTAGCATGATTCTTAGCACTACTGTAAACTAAGCTACAGATTTCTTTACCATTGGAGAATTTATCTTGCCTGGGCGCATGGAAGGAATTACAGAAAGGACTAAGGACTTCACTTATATTTTAGCCTGTCTCCTTCCCAGGCAAGTCAAACTGAGTTAAAAGTGCCACTGTGCTCAAGTTAAGAGGTTTTATGTGTGTGTGGGCAGAACTCAAACCAAGAACAACATTACTTGAGCCAACAGTGCTGTACAGACAAGCTATAGGCTGTCTCAGGTACAGCCATACTTGAAGGGTTATCAGCAGAGCTATAGCACTGCATATTTATGGCAATGTATTAATGCCAGTTAAAGCCTTGATGTCCACATAGACACTGTGTTTTCAAGTGCCTCATCTGGAGGTAATGTGTAAAAAAGGAAACAAAGAAAACAAAGAAACCATTAATTCAGGAACAGTTGTGAGCTATAGGTGTGTGAAATAATACAGACAGAGATTATATTAACCTTATAGCTCCCTTTCTGCCCTAAACCCTTTCTCCCTTTCTTGCCCGCAGTTCACCTGCCTGATTGGTTACTTGTTGAATGAAAAGCTTCTTGAAAGTGATTTTTCTCCTGTTTGATCAGGGGGATGGAAGAGACGTTGTTGAAAACCTGATTTTTATTTCTTTTTAATTTAGAAAAAAAAACACTGTGATTTTTATCTATTATTTCTTGAACTCTGATTTCTTTTTTATCCTACATATCTACACTGCCTTCCTGCCCTTCCAAGATCTGAAGTAGCATCAGGAACATATTCCACAGCTCTTTTATCCCTAAGGAAATTTGTGAGTGCCCTATTTAGCTTTACAGAAGAATTTTTGGGTGTGTATGTGTCCTACATGATAGCGATTCTGAGTAATGGGAAGCAGGTAGTCAGAGGAGCAGTCAATCTTAAATTTTGAAGCCTGTTCTGGCTTAAAATTTTCACTTGTACTATTTTTTTAAATAAGGAGTCTGATTTTCAACTCAATTAGGCTTTTGGGAAAATGATTGCCTTCCAAAGAAAATGTTAATACCCTGTCAAAGCTCTGAGCACTTCCAAACTGAAAATATATTAGCTGAACATGGAATTATGTCAACATTTTCATTACAAACGGAGCTGTGGTGCTGCACAGGGCTTCTCAACTGACTGCCTGATGCTCTTGCTCCCTTTCAGCGAAGTGTGGGATCAAGCTTCATCTCCCATAATTGTCCCCTTTCCTTCTTCCCGATGGCAAATGGAGATGTGTCATCAGAGGTCCTTGCCGTGACACATCATGGGAGATGAATTCCGTGTTTCGAGTGAGGTACTGTGACTGAAACACAAATGTCAGAGAAGTTATATGGCTTTTTGTCGAATTCTGTTAGTTGTTTTGGTAAATCATCCTGGTTTTCTCACCAGCTTTCTCAAAGATTTTTGCTTAATCACATCAGTGTAGGCCTGTATGTATCTGCCAGCAAACAATAGGGAAATCCACCTTGTAAAGATCCAAGACACAGTTCCTTCTCCTTTCATGAACTCCTTGTTACAGCTTAGTCTGGTCCTCAGTAAAAGCCACATGCTCCTAAGTGCAGCCTGTGAATGAAGAATGACTCACATTTTCTGGCTAACTACAAACAGGTAGTCTCCAGAGTCCGATAGGGTTGAAGGCTTGTGGACTCTTGCACACATCGGGAGATTAATCTTCCTAGGTATACAAATTGGGACCAGCAGCCCTGGAGACTGGTGAGAGCCTTTGAGGTCCTTGTGCTCTTTCTACAGTTACTCTATGTAACCAGATGCTCAGCTGGGCTATTCATAGTCATGTCATTGACAGTACTGTCCTTTGACCTTAATAATCTACTGAATTACCCACTGAAGCAAGGCCAAAAAAGCGGTGAGTTACATGATTTATTCTTGGTCATTACAGAGGGGGTCTCCCAATAAGCAGGAAGAGCAAGACTCTTTCTGGGCTTATTTCCGTTAAGAGCAGTGAAGTTGCAGCAGGGACTTTGGCCCATAGCTTTCACTTCAACACTCAGTTCCAGGGGACAGGGAAAAGGTGTTTACATTTGCTTTTAATATATTTGTTTAAAAGATAACTTTGGCCAGGGGAGCTCCAATCCCACAGTCAGTACATGTACAAACTTAAAATTTCTGTTTTACAGAACAGCAGCAGGCTCTTAAGAGCCTTTTTATAGGTAGAATGGAAGCTTTAGGGGTGAAATACAGCTTTCATTATAAAGCTCCTTTTACAGTGACTCATTATTTTCTCATAGACATAGCCTTTACGCCACATTTTTTCATGTCTGATCTCTGTCCAGAGATTATATTTGTGAAGCAAAAAAGAACAGTTAAGCAAAATCTACTCAATCATCTTTCTTGTCTCTGTGCCTAAAAAAGAAATTCTGTATATGCTCCAGTCCAAACGTTTTGAGTTGTCATAAGTTACCTACAACTCCAAGATCTTCATTCAAACACAGCTTGATCTGTGCACTCTGATCCCAAGGATGCTGTGTATCTGCAGAGATGTCCATGGGCACCTTGGGAGTTCTGTGCTGCAGAAGTTACTTCTTGCCTGCAGTATTTGGTATATGCTTACTTTTTTGTTAGGCCTTTACAGGGCTCAGAATGAGGCTTATCTAGCCATGTAGTTGGCTGTGAGGTATGAATATTTAACAGATGAAGTTGCAAGGACTTTACAAAGACCAGTGGATCTTCTGAGAAAGCTAGGAGCTTGTGAAATATTATGTCTCTTCTTATACCAAGCAAAACCTTATTGTACAGCAATAAATGCAGGGCTGCAATGATGAAGTCCCATCAACAGCAGCCTGGGAACATAGCCACCCAGCTCGGCTCACATAGGTACCCAAAGCTGTATTGATACTGTCCCAGGTTCTCATCAATCTCAGAACAGCCCTGCACAAATAAGGAGACAAGACCCTAGGCTTGGTGGACTAAAGGCCGTAGCGGGTAACACAGTTGCTATCATCTTTCAGGTGGTATTTTTCAGATTTCAAATGATTTTCTTGTATCCCACAGGGGGTGGGGAAAGCTGGTACCAACCGCGCCCTGGACTGCGGCTCTGGGATAGGTCGTATCAGCAAGCATGTCCTGTTACCAGTTTTCAAGAGCGTGGAACTGGTGGATATGATGGAGAATTTCCTGGCTGAGGTCCCGAACTACCTGCAGGGCAAGGAGGACAGAGTAGAGATGTATTATTGCAAAAGCCTCCAGGAATTCACTCCAGCCCCACAAAGATATGATGTCATCTGGATTCAGTGGGTTTCAGGTTAGTTCAGCATGATTCACCAGCCCAGCATCTCAAAGAACTATACAGCCTGTGCTGAAGTTTATGTTAAAAGAATGGTGCAGCTGTTAAAGGAGGTTCTCAAATCTTTGGGACTGCTTCCTAAAGTCTCACAAGAGACTTCTGAGAGTTCTCCCCAGCCACATGCACAGTGGGTACAAATCAAGTTGGGGTTTTTTAGGTCACGTACTGGAGGAAGGTACATGTTCTTGGAGAGTAGCCTGTATGCTAAGGTGCAGCTCAGGTGTAGGCCTTATATATGGGTTTTCTTGAGCAGGAATCCTCCTTCTTAGTTGCCAGTGCTGCAGACACATACACGGGGTTGGCCTCACCTGTGAGCAGGGATTTCTGAATCTGATGATTATCCAGACTTGGGGGTATTTCAGGAAACAATCTGAAAAAAGCCATAGTGAAATCACCAATACCTATAAACCAGATCGTGCTTATCAAACAGGTTCACTTAGCTGTATGTCCCACAGTACCCCCTCATATAAGAAATATCTGCTTCTTCTCCTGCAGCCACCCCAGTGAATGCCCTGCAGCATTAAGAGCAGCAGACTGGCGATAAGATAATGTGGGCTATGTTCCTCACCAAAAAAAAAAAAGGTTCTTAATTTTTTGCTAGAAAACCTGCTGCAGTGCTTAACTGTCCTTCCAGAAAGAAGGTTTTCTCCTAATCTGTGAACCTAAGTGTCCACGGTGCAGTTTCAGCTGGCAGAAGTCATTATTCTAAAGCACAAGAGGAGGCCTGAACAACTCCTTCTCTCCAAAACCCTGGAGATAGATAGTTTCTTGCTAGGCAAAAAGAAAGATAAAGGTAGAGAGATTAGCACAGGAGATGTTTTTTTTCAGGAACACTTATTTGTCCTCTACACAAAGTCTTAAAAAGTAATGAAACTGAGCTTCTTAGAACAGGTCTTTATAGCTGTACAAGCAAATTGCTTCAGAACAATATCATTTTCCTTTGTATTTTTGCTTTTCTTGAATAACCAGTCATTGCAGTAAATGTAGCTCCTGCCTCATCTTTTGAGCAAATCGGAGTCAATGTGAGACTGAATGAGCTAAGACTTGTCTGAGGCTATGCTGATCAGCTATGTGGCTGCTAACGAAGGGAGCATATGCCTTTTCTTTAGCATAAACACAGATCTGAATCTCCTTCCTCCATCAATTTCAATGAAATATGTAGTGATCTTAAGTATTAATCAAACTTCTACCCCTATCTTGAATTTGGCAGAAATATGCCAACGAGCTCAACACTTTTTGGTGGAGCAAGGGCAGAACTGTCTGGTAAAGAGCAACACCACGAAGATCTCATTTTCTTAGGAAACTAGGCTAAAAGCTAAGTTAAGAGAACATTAAGTTCCAAATTAGGTGTTCAAAAGCTTCAATGAATCTTGCCAATGCAATCTTGATTTGTCTTATGTATGCGTAAGTATATGAGCCCAGGCTGTTATTTTATGAAAAAATAAAAACGCAAGTTTACATTTCATATAGAAATTACCATTTTCCTTCAACTTGAAAGGTTTTCAGCTTTAGGCTTTGGGGCTTTTTTCTTTTTCTTTTTTCTGGGGGGTGGTTAAAGAAACCTGACATACTATGTCAAAATGTGGTTTTGAAACGACAACTTCCATTTATAAAAGTTTAAATCTTCCATCAAGAAAACTAAATATTTTGACTAGAAAATACAAACGATTATTTTTTTCAAGTTTTCCATTCAGTTTCTGACCACCTGTCCTTGTTAATTCATTTTAGATGTTTCACATGTGAGAGTTCTCATTTTGCTCTTCTCTGAACCCTGCACTACTGATCTCAACAGAAGTATTGATCTTTGAGAAGGAAGGATAAAAAACACAATCTCAATAACATACTGAAAAAAGTACTATTTTAAAATGTATATGGTATATGCAGAAAGCACAACAGTATGGGGTCATATAAAGAGTTTATTTGGCAGTTTGGAAGGCCTTGCATTCCTCACTGGATCTTTGATCCAGAACTCCTTTGATGGGTACATAATGTTACACAAAGTTACAGAGATTTGTAGCATTAAAAGACAGAAGGGACTGTTAGATTATCTAGTTTGACCTACTCTATATCACAAGCTGTTATATTCATTCCTTTACCCGTGTACTGAGCCAGTAGTTTGTGTTCAATTAAAACATATCTTGAGAAATTCAACCACGTTTGATTTGAGGACTTCAATAGGTGGTAAACACCACTTCTGTTGGTAGTTTCCAATGGGTAATTACTTACACTGTTAAACAGTTGTCACTTATTTCCAATATGAATTTGTTTGGCTCCGGCTTCCTGCCACTGATTCTTATTATGACTTTAACCACCAGATTAAAGAACCCTTCAGCACCCAGTATTTTCTCCACTATTCCCATTGACTTCTGTCCACATCTGTTGCTACTACTAATATGGATCCTAAATATTGATTTGAGTTTGTAACTGTTGATCTCATTGATTTGCCCAATACGTCATAATTAAATCTGGCAGGACTAGAACTTCTGCAATAAATAGGGTATGGAGACTCAGAACGAGGCACCATTCTGATGTGTGCAGGGGGAGTCTGTTTGAATGGTTAATAGTGATCTGTTTTCCATCTTTTCATCTGTAGGATATCTGACAGATAAAGATCTCCTGGAGTTTCTCATCCGGTGCCAAAATGGCTTGAAGGATAATGGTGTTATCATTCTCAAGGACAATGTAGCCAGGGAGGGCTGTATCCTGGATTGTCTGGATAGTAGTGTGATCCGAGACCTGAACATCCTCCACAGCCTCGTTGAAATGAGTGGACTCACCATCCTACGAGAGGAGAGGCAGGAGGGATTCCCTGAGCAGTGTGTCCCTGTCTGGATGTTGGCCATGCAGAAAGGCCCTGGCCATTCCTGATTGCATAGTGAGACTGCAGAGACTGGACTATGGATGAACCGCAGGACTGGGAAGGAGAAAAGCGTCTACTAGAATCCTAACCATGCACTGCTACTACTACAACTCTAGGGCAGCAACTCCTAAAGGATCATGAGAGAATTACAATTGAGCCAGCTTCTCCAGGGAATAGTCTGCTTCTAAATCCTGCCTGCTTCATCATTCTCTCCATTTTTAAAAGCCTTTCTAACAGCTCCTTGTCAGATCTCTCTTTCATTAAGGAGTCAATACTGGACAAAACTCGACTAATAGAAAATAATTAGGTCTGAAGTTTCTGTAGTGGCTAATACATTTTGGAGTGTTCTGTATGAGGTGTTAACAAATAAGACTGGTTTTTACTATGTCACTTTAATCTTCTTGGAATTTAAGAAGGATCTGTCAGATCACTGAAGCAGGAAATTCAAATAACTTCTGGAAAACCTAACCCAAATTTCGACTGTCATCACTATCTGTACTTTAAAATATTCAAACCAAAAATGTAAGGGAAGTTTTATCCATTTGTTGGCATCAGCTATGCTGTTTATTTATTTTTTTGCATTTCTGTCAGTTTGGACAATAAGACAACCTGGTTAATTTTCCATTTTTAGGAACTACTTTATCTTCCTGATGTTTCTGCCATAGAACAATAGTGGTGCGTAAGGGTTTTCGCACTCCAGAGGAAAACTTAGATGACAAATATATGCATGTTTGCATTGAAATTTTGTGAAAAGATTGCCCCACAAATTACATTCTGGAAAATATTTTTTCAAAATGTTCACAGTGGAAACCACTTTAAAGCTTCTCTTTATTATTCATACCACTGTAAATTTCTTTCTTTCCCACATTCAGAACAAGTCTGGCACCATATGCAGAGCTAATGGGATTTCATGGGGTGTTAGTAGTAAGACTGTAAGAAGAACTAATACAGTATTGTATTAATTAACAACTCTACTAAACTGCAGAGGGTCTTAGTGTAACCCAAAAGCATCTATGATTTATATTCAAACAGCAGCTGTATAAGCTGGGATTTGAAAATACTAACACACATACCATCTCCTTAAGACTCACAGAAATTACACATTAAGCTTCTTGTCCTCTTCATATGGATTTGAAAACTAACACACATACCATCTCCTTAAGACTCACAGAAATTACACATTAAGCTTCTTGTCCTCTTTATAGGAACAGAAAGCGCTGTGGGAGGACAGAAGTTCATTTTGCAAAAAAATTCAGAATTTGAAATTCTGTGTCATTCTGAATGAGGACAAGAAGGGAGAATTTTTAAATTCTTTGTGAAGGAAAACCACACAACCACAGACTTTTCCAAATTGATTAAAATTTTTCATTCAGACAAAATCAAATGTTTGTTTTGAATTGGACTTTTAAAAAATATGCATTTAAAATATTACTAAATGCAGTAAAAAGCAAATTAAATATGACTTGTTCAAAATTTTAGAAATTAATTATAACATTAGAATGGACCATTCTGACTCTGTCAGAATTTTTATTGTGTTTTATTCCCTTGAAATGCAATTCTGGCAAAACTTATCAGACTTTTTAAAGAGTTGCATTATGACAAACCTCCGTGTTCTGATGGAAAGGGGTTCTATAAAACATCCTCCACGTGACTGTAGGCACAATTGTCTGTGTCAAATATTGTCGTCTGTGTTAGATTAACTCACATAGAAGCCTGAAGATAATGAGATCAGGGAACCTCTCAGCTGGATTTTAGTACACTTTGCCATCCTTTGATAACAAAACTCCAGTTTTGGTTTTAATTGCATAACTTATCTTCTCTAGCAATATGGTTGCATATGTTGAGAATTTCCAGTTTATGGCAGAGGGCTTCCTGCCGTCAAATCTTATCCAGTAATTGTTCTCTTAATGTGCCATTGCTAATTGTAGCATTAAGGAAAACAACCCTGGTGATTTGGTGAATATTCTGGCATGTCATATAACCTAGAAACCTATGGTTCCCATGACACAGATGCTTCTGGAATGTTTTGGCTAGTTCTTCCATTCTAATCAACTGGTAATGGATGCAAATTTAGTATATAGCATTGTTAAAAACCCTAGGTGAACACTTACATTCTGGAATTGTCCCCAGAACTAAGTGCTTCAAACTCCCTTTAAGCCACTACACTGCTTTCGTTCTGCCGAGGCTGCTAAAAGCTGATGTGGTCTTTGCGTGCATATGAGTATGTGCAGATATCTGAAGGAAACCCAGTCATTTGTTTTACAGGAAAGAGGCCTATAGTTAGTAACACTGGTTAGCAATAACAGGAGAATATTTAAAAGGCCTTTACGCAGATTACAAATTAATTTGTCCTTCCCAATTTTTTCTTCCAGCCAGAGACGTCTGCCATGGCACAGAATACTTGGGGACTGCTGGAGATCCTAGTACAATCGTGTCTGTGCCAGGCGTATCTGAATGGTGTTGGTCACTACAATGGTGAGAGAACGGCATTGTGGAAATAGGGAAGTAAATATATTCAAACAGCAGCTGTATAAGCTGGGATTTGAAAATACTAACACACATACCATCTCCTTAAGACTCACAGAAATTACACATTAAGCTTCTTGTCCTCTTCATATAGGAACAGAAAGCGCTGTGGGAGGACAGAAGTTCATTTTGCAAAAAAATTCAGAATTTGAAATTCTGCTTCATTCTGAATGAGGACAAGAAGGGAGAATTTTTAAATTCTTTGTGAAGGAAAACCACACAACCACAGACTATATAGGAACAGAAAGCGCTGTGGGAGGACAGAAGTTCATTTTGCAAAAAAATTCAGAATTTGAAATTCTGCTTCATTCTGAATGAGGACAAGAAGGGAGAATTTTTAAATTCTTTGTGAAGGAAAACCACACAACCACAGACTTTTCCAAATTGATTAAAATTTTTCATTCAGACAAAATCAAATGTTTGTTTTGAATTGGACTTTTAAAAAATATGCATTTAAAATATTACTAAATGCAGTAAAAAGCAAATTAAATATGACTTGTTCAAAATTTTAGAAATTAATTATAACATTAGAATGGACCGTTCTGACTCTGTCAGAATTTTTATTGTGTTTTATTCCCTTGAAATGCAATTCTGGCAAAACTTATCAGACTTTTTAAAGAGTTGCATTATGACAAACCTCCGTGTTCTGATGGAAAGGGGTTCTATAAAACATCCTCCACGTGACTGTAGGCACAATTGTCTGTGTCAAATATTGTCGTCTGTGTTAGATTAACTCACATAGAAGCCTGAAGATAATGAGATCAGGGAACCTCTCAGCTGGATTTTAGTACACTTTGCCATCCTTTGATAACAAAACTCCAGTTTTGGTTTTAATTGCATAACTTATCTTCTCTAGCAATATGGTTGCATATGTTGAGAATTTCCAGTTTATGGCAGAGGGCTTCCTGCCGTCAAATCTTATCCAGTAATTGTTCTCTTAATGTGCCATTGCTAATTGTAGCATTAAGGAAAACAACCCTGGTGATTTGGTGAATATTCTGGCATGTCATATAACCTAGAAACCTATGGTTCCCATGACACAGATGCTTCTGGAATGTTTTGGCTAGTTCTTCCATTCTAATCAACTGGTAATGGATGCAAATTTAGTATATAGCATTGTTAAAAACCCTAGGTGAACACTTACATTCTGGAATTGTCCCCAGAACTAAGTGCTTCAAACTCCCTTTAAGCCACTACACTGCTTTCGTTCTGCCGAGGCTGCTAAAAGCTGATGTGGTCTTTGCGTGCATATGAGTATGTGCAGATATCTGAAGGAAACCCAGTCATTTGTTTTACAGGAAAGAGGCCTATAGTTAGTAACACTGGTTAGCAATAACAGGAGAATATTTAAAAGGCCTTTACGCAGATTACAAATTAATTTGTCCTTCACCATTTTTTCTTCCAGCCAGAGACGTCTGCCATGGCACAGAATACTTGGGGACTGCTGGAGATCCTAGTACAATCGTGTCTGTGCCAGGCGTATCTGAATGGTGTTGGTCACTACAATGGTGAGAGAACGGCATTGTGGAAATAGGGAAGTAAACAATTTTATACAAATCTAAACAGCTGCCACATCTCACAGGGTAGAATATATCAGCTGTTCACTTACACACCAGAGTGGGGGCAGTTCAGTAATGAGAGACGTGGTTCCAAGATGGATATAGAATGCAAAGTGGTTTAGGATGAAATGTAGAATATAAATGACTGGTATTGTTATCAGTGAAATACATTTTTCAAGGTAAAAATGTTCTTCCTCTATTTTGTACATCTTTCCTATTTGAATTTCCAGAATACATAGACATAAACATATAATGAAAATTGATTCCCTTAACTATGTGAGAACAGAGACAAATAAAATCTTAATTTAGTAGAAAACCCCATGTTTCATGGTTCCCACATTCCTGGAAATTAATGTTTCATGGCTATGTTGCTTTCAAAGTAAAATAATATTGTTTTACGTGGTTCCAAGATGGATATAGAATGCAAAGTGGTTTAGGATGAAATGTAGAATATAAATGACTGGTATTGTTATCAGTGAAATACATTTTTCAAGGTAAAAATGTTCTTCCTCTATTTTGTACATCTTTCCTATTTGAATTTCCAGAATACATAGACATAAACATATAATGAAAATTGATTCCCTTAACTATGTGAGAACAGAGACAAATAAAATCTTAATTTAGTAGAAAACCCCATGTTTCATGGTTCCCACATTCCTGGAAATTAATGTTTCATGGCTATGTTGCTTCCATAGTAAAATATTAAAGCTTTTCTGGTGACATAATGAACCTCAAGAGTAAAGAAACACAAGCCCTCCAGGGGCTTAATGCATGCTGAAGACTGAATAATATTTTGGTTTCCTCCTTTTCCAAGGTATATTTTAATTCAAGAACTCCCAGTCAACCAGTGTAGGCCACCCTTAAATGTTCATGAATTTGGGTAAGGGCCATTCTTGGATTAAAAGTTCAGGGCTCTCTGGACTCTACCGTAGTATATAATAATAATAATCCATCACAAATTTCAAACAGAAGATCTTGCTTAGGAATCATCTATGTATCAGCTGCTCTTTGGTGTTCAAAGACTGGATAATCAACTCAGTTGCTCTGCCTCAACTTTCAGGTTATTTAAACCATGCATTTAAAGAAGTCTTTAGCTCATCAGATTGCAGTGGGAGTTTGAATCCCATTTGTTTGGTGATCATTTAAGACTTGTTCCCGATCTTGACATTACCAGAAATTTAATCGAAGATCAAGAACCTGGCTGAGGCAAGGTTCACAGAACATTCAGGGTCCTTCAAGCTCAAGCCCTCATTCACCACTGACAGGTAATTAGTGAAATACCCAATTAGTCCTTCAATCAGATGTTTCTCCCAGGCAACCACTACTCAAGTAAACGCTTAGCCAAAGTGCAGTAAGTGCACGTCACCACCAAAGCTCTTGGTAATGCTTGGTTTCCCCATATCAGGTCCAGTGCTTCTATTCTGTGTGACTGAAGGCCAAATATTATCTTTATTATATGAATGTGAGTTTCCTTGCAAAAAGAGATCCTCAAGCCCTGACAGTAGCCCCCAAATGCTACTGCAACCCAAACAAAATGTCCAGAAGCAATTATTATAGCAGTCTGAACAGCAATCCCAACTGTGCAGCTCCAGCAACCATCAAAGCTCAAGCTGTTCATGTTCCGAAGGCAACTCAGACATTACAAATGTCCTTTCATTTCTAATTGGAAGAAAGAGCCATCATTTTGAAACATATCGCTGAATGGATGTTCTAAAATACTTTGTTTCAGAAATACTGAAATGATCATATCAAATATTTTTCGTTTGACTTTCTTGTTTGGATTTTATATAACCTAGTCTAAACTGACATGTTATGTGAGATGATAATATAATACATTATATAGTATTGTAATAGTTGAAGTGAAACATTAGTTTCCTACAGAATACGCTAATAAAATCAGTACATCCCCTGCCCCCAAATTTAGTGAAACAAGTCAGCAATTTCCAGAGGAAACAGTTATATCGAGAGGAACAGTCCTGTCAAGAAGTATTTGCCCAAGGTCTTTTTCTCCAGACGTATCCTATCCATTCAGG